TCATACTCACCATGCCCTGGAAATCTTAAAGTAAAAATAGTAGATGGGCTCTCATCGATTGTTGGAATTGGAACTATTACATTTAGTCTATCCGTGGAATTAAAATCTGTTTTACATGTTTCAAAACTTTCGTGCAATCTTCTTTCTATTAGCAAATTAACTAAGGATTTGCATTGCAGTGTGAACTTTTTTGAGTCATTGTGTTTTTTTAAGGACTTGACTTCGGGAAAGAGGATTGGCAATGCTAAAGAACGTGATGGGCTATACTATTTTCTGGAGGACACCTACTCGAATAAACAAGCTCAAATTGCAAGTTGTGAATCTGACCTAGATAACAAGAAGTAATGTTGTGGCATCGCCAGTTAGCTCATTCTAGTGTTTCATCTCTTAAACATTTATTTCCATCCTTGTTTCGCGATAAAGATAATTATCAATGTGATGTTTATCAACTAGCTAAACATTCTCATTCTTCATTTTCTTCTCACGATTATAAATCGTCATCACCTTTTACTTTAATACATAGTGACTTATGGGATCCTTATAGGACTAAGAGCATTACGAACAAATGCTGGTCCATAACATTTACGGATGATCATACAAGGGTCTGTTGGATTTACCTATTAAAAGATAAGTCCGAAACTGCACAAACTTTTAAAAAAATTTATTCTATGATTCAAACCCAGATAATGGCCGGGAATACTTCAATCATGTCTTGGGAAATTTTCTCACCGAAAAAGGCATTGTACATTAAAGCTCTTGTGTAAATTGATAGGATACCAACTAGAAAAGCAAGCTCAAACACTAATTAAGAAACTCTTTAATTGAAAGAGAAGCAATTACAAGAAATGAAATTGATAGTAAAGCCTGAAGAAGGCTGTAAACAGTAAACAAGACTCTCGAGACCTCCACTCAAATATTGCCTACCTTTTACCCTTATTTATAGGCCTATTTCTAACAGAATTTTCCTCCCCCTCTTGCCCTTTTTAGCAGAATTTGGTTGTTGCAAATCCCTCCTCAATTCTCCTAGATTCTTCTGGAATTTGGGGCCTATCATAAACACTCCCCAACAAAACGGTATTGTCAAAAGAAAGAACCGCCACTTACTTGAAACTATTAGAGCACTTGTGTTTACCAGTAGGGTTCCAAAACAATTTTGGGGAGATGGGGTTCTTACTGCATGTTACCTTATCAACAAAATGCCTACTAGGATCTATAATTTCACAACCCCTCTAACTGTTCTATCAAATGTATTCCGCAAACCCGACCTATCGTTTCTATACCCTCGAGAGTGTTCGGATGTACTGTCTTCACTTATAATCATGATCATGAATGTACCAAGTTGGACCCTAAAGCTCGAAAATGTACATTCTTAGGCTACTCTCAAACTCAAAAAGGTTACAAATGTTACTCCTCGATTACTCAAAAAATATTATATATCTATGGATGTCATGTTCTTTGAGTCTCTTATTTTTCCCAAAATATCCCCCAAGGGGAGGAACACAATGATAATGATAATTATGATGGAAATTTTTGTGAAATTACACCACAATCACCCGTGTCACTCACCGAAGAAGTCTCAATATCCAAACCATCTTCTCCTATATCAGAACACTCTTCATCTATTAATCTTTCTCCACTTCCTGATCCACAACATATTGATTCCCTTGTACAACCAAGTTTAATGACAAGGGAGAGAAAAACAACTTGCAAGAATGCCAGAGCTACGTGTTTATTCAAGGAGGAAAAATCTTGAAACAGTGGAACCTCTCACAGTTCAACCGCAGAATCATGAATCTATTCCGAATTCAGGGAATCCCTCTACCCCATAGATTGACTCTACTAATGATTTGGATGTTCTTATAACACTCAGAAAAGGAGTCAGATCTTGTACACAGCATCTTATCTCCAACTTCATTGGATATAGTCATCTATCCAGATCAGTTTAGGCCCTTGTTGCTAATATGTCATCAATTGAGATACCAAAGTCTATTCACGAAGCCTTGTCAATTCCGGTTTGGAGAAAAACAGTTGAGGAAGAGATGATAGCCTTGAATAAAAATAGAACATGGTAGATTGTTAAGATACCTAAGGATAAGTCAACGGTTAGGTGCAAATGGGTTTTTTCTATTAAATACAAATCAGATGGTTCAGTAGAATGCCATAAAGCTAGGTTGGTAGCAAGAGAATATTCTCAAACCTATGGAGTTGACTATCAGGAAACCTTTGCTCCAGTTGCAAAATTAAACATAATGAGGGTCCTTCTGACATTGGCAGCAAATCTAGACTGGCAACTTCAACAATTAGATGTAAAAAATGCTTTCGTGAATGGGGACTTGGAAGAAGAAGTATATATGGAGCTTCTCCCTAGGTTTGATGAAGCTAAGATCCAAGGAAATGTCTGCAAATTGGAAAAATCCTTATATGGGCTAAAGCTATCTCCACAAGCCTGGTTTGGTGGATTCATGAAAGCTATATGTCAACAAGGATACAAACAAGCCTAATCTGATCATACTTTGTTCGACAGGAACTCAGGCAGTAAATCACTATTCTGATAGTCTATGTGGATGATATAGCCCTGACACGTGATAACTATGAAGAAATGGAGTGGCTAAAGAAGGTTGTTTCGACCGAGTGTGAAATAAAAGACTTAGGTCCTTTGCGATACTTTCTTGGATTGGAAGTTGCTAGAAATAGGAGTGGAATCTCTATCTCGAGAAAGTATGTCTTGGATATATGCTAGGAAGTAAGCTAGCTAATGTGCCTATAAACCCCAATCACAAACTAAAGGATTGCTCAGGAAGTACACTTGTTGATAAGGGAAGATATCCGCATCCGGTGGGTAAACTTATCTATTTGTCACACATTAGACCTAACATAGCTTTTGCAGTTAGTGTTGTGGGTCAATTTATGCATGCCCCATTAAAGAGCATATGGAAGCTATTTATCAGATATTGAGATATTTAAAAGGGACTCTTGGACTTGGGACCTCTCTTCAGAAAGATCTATTAAAACTTTTACTGATGCTGATTGGGCGGATCACTAATGGACAAAAGATCTACAATTGACTATTGTACCATTGTATGGGGAAATCTAGTCACTTGGAGAAGTAAGAAGCAACCAATTGTGGCAAGGAGTAGTACAAAAGCTGAATTCAGAGCCCTAACACTACTATTAGATGAACTCGGTGTTCAGGAGAATAAGCCAATGGAAGTGTACTATGATAACAAGGTAGCCATTGTAATGTCACATAATCATGTTCATCCTGACAGAACTAAACATGTAGAGGTAGATAGACATTTCATTAAAGAGAAAATAGAAAATGGGACTATATGCTTGATGTATGTGCCTGCACCTGGATAGGTCACGGATTTATTGACAAAGGGGTTGTCTAAACCCATGTTCGAGAAAATGGTGGACAAGTTGGGATTATTTAACTTGTATCATGCAGCTCGAGGGGGAGTGTTGAAGATTCCAAAATGTTATATGCTGATTGGGAGGATTATTTGCTACCATACTTTATGGCACCATTATTGTTAACATATAATTTATTTCCTTGTCTATAGGATTAGAATATATTTAAGTTGGAATGAAGGATCATTGCTATGTATTCTTGCCCTATAAATAATTATATTCGGCTGAGACTAATAATAAGATTGATTCACTACTTTCTGTTGTGGTCTTCCTCCTCTGTCACTCTTGGTTTTACAAGAAAACAAATTTATACTGCTGACTTGTTGCCTCAAGGATGGAGTTCACATCAAAATAAATTTTGAGGAGTGGAGTATTTTAATGCGTGGATCGCTGTCAAAAGTTTGGTTACAAGGAAAGAGGAAAAGCAGAAGTTTACATTTGAACATGTCATGTAGAATTTTTTGAAAATGAGGTATAATATGGTGTTAGGTGGAAGATCAAAATTTTGCACCCTTTGTGGGCCTAGCAATAAATTCTTCTACCAAAATCACATTATTTGGTCTTCCATCAGAGAAAAGTTAAATTCGCTACACGGACGGGACTTCATCCATATTCTAATGGTCTATGGCATCATCCTTGCAATCTGATGTGCAAGGTCACTCTCATGTTCCTGCTTTGCTGACACCTTCCAAATCAGTGTCGAGGTTCTTTCACAGTTTGGAAGCTGAAAGGTGACTCTTGAAGAGCTCTGAAGATGGCTTGCAGCTCTAAGTCCTGCATAATGTGTCTTTCCTTGCACTTGGTTTTGTGCTCAGATAGGAATTGCAGAAGTGTTTTAGATCATAATGTAATCTGTAACCCTAGATACTGGTGAAGAGTGCCTCATTTATGAAGCCTATCACATTAATCTTACTTTTTGAGGTACAATTGCAGTTGGTTATAGTTATTCATTTAGTGCTGGCGAAATCATGCAGAAATATTGTTTATTTTATGTTGAAATTATCTGCCTGTGCTTAGCTGAATGTAATCAGTTCGTATCTTGACCTTTCAGGTTGACCAAGATAAAATATGTGTACATTGGATGTAGCTAGAACAGAGCTTGCTCTTGCAGTTTTGTATCTGAACAAAGCTGAAGCCAGGGACAAGATATGCAGGGCAATCCAATATGGTTCAAAATTTGTAAGTAATGGAGAGCTAGGCACAGCTCAAAATGTCGACAAATCTACCAGCTTGGCACGAAAAGTGTTCCGCCTTTTCAAGGTAAGCCCTACTTGTATTTTTCCAGTGGTTGTGATGCATGCCTGTATTACATGTATACTTTTGTGGTGTCTGAAGGTATTATATGCTTCATTTCAACTTTTTTCCCGTCCTTATTTTTTATGTGTATTCATGTGGAAGAATAAAGCTTTCATTTTTGAAAGTGGTTGCAGAATGCAGTACCCTAGAATATAAAGAGCTGTTACGATTATCTCGTGTTCTTGACAAGTTTTTATATTTCTTCATTTTGCAGTTTGTAAATGATCTGCATGCTCTAATTAGTCCAACTGCTTGGGGAACTCCACTTCCACTGATTTTGTTGGGAAAGGTATTAACATCTTAATTGTAGAATTCTACCCATTCCTCCTCCTCTGTTTTTATTTATTTTTTATTTTTTTAATTGTCTTAACATGTTTAGTTGGTGTTTTTTTTCAGTCTAAAAATGCATTATTGTCTACTTTCTTGTTTCTCGATCAAATTGTATGGCTTGGTAGGACTGGCATATACCAGGTATGCTTTGAATTTCTCTTCTCTAGTTTCACAATAGTTTGGAAAGTGATTACAAAATACATGTAAGCTAGAGAGTTTTAAATCTTATTTTTACGCAGAACAAAGAAAAAACAGAACTGATTGGAAGGATCTCTCTTTTTTGTTGGATGGGCTCTTCGATTTGTTCCACTCTGGTTGAGGTATGACGCACAATGCTCGTCTAATTTTGTGGCTTTGACATCATTTTATTTTAATCAGCGGTTACAAAAATGGATTTATGTCTGGTGTACTTCCTTATCTCTGACTTCAGATTGGAGAACTTGGAAGGCTTTCAGCTTCGATGAAGAAGTTAGAGAAGGAACTTAAGATCACGAATAAGTACAAGGTATGCTTGCTGTTCATTCTCTAAACTGGTTTGGCTGTTCTTAACCTTTATTTCTTCTGGATGATATGGTCTTTTCTTTTTGTTGCATTTCCATGGCAGAATGAGCAGTATCTCAGTAAGCTTCAAAATTCAAATGAAAGATCTCTAGCCCTGGTTAAAGCAGGCATGGATATTGTTGTTGCAGTCGGGTTGCTTCAACTGGCACCCAAGAAAGTCAATCCGCGTGTAACAGGTGCCTTCGGATTTGTTAGCTCGCTCATCTCCTGTTATCAGGTACCCTCCATTTTCTATTTTATGTTTTAGCATCATTTTCAAATAAATGATTAAGAGCATATTTGGCTATGCTTAAAAAGTATACTTATAACTGAATAAGTTTGTTTCGAAATTAAGAATTTTTATTTTTAATTGGCCAAAGTTGGAAATTATTTAGTTACTTATTTTGATGGTGAAGTCAAGAGTTACTTTCAAAATGAACTTTATTTTTTTATTTTTTGGTAACTAGAAGTGGGAAAAAGGTGAGTAAGTTATCCAAATGTATTTTGGAAACGAACTTTTACATTTTAAAGCTTAGCCAAACACGCGCAAATGCAAAATCACCATCTTATGCGGACCAATAGCTTTAAAAACATGAAGAGTTCAAACTTCAAACTAGGCATGCCATTTTAATTAATTTTCAGGCTAATTAGGACAAATATTGCAGATAACTATGTAGTTTTTTAGAGGCAGATAGAATGTATTATTATTTTTGGGAACGATTATCATAAATCCACGTATACAAGTTCAAAAATTACATGATTGGAGGACAAATTTTCAGGGACAGTTTAGCAGCCACCTAGCAAATTGCAATAGTATATTCACTTACAGTTGCTTTGAGTTTTGAAAATGAAATACTTTGTCTTGCAGTTGCTTCCATCACCTGCTAAGGCCAAAACACCCTGAAGGATTTACCAGCTCAACAGCCTAAGTATTGTCATTGTTCATTTTGCCCATTACTCTATAATAATATGTGGCATCTCATTTTAGCTGTGTTCATGAATTGCATTCTTTGCTGATTTACTCACACACACTTGAGAAGCACACATAATAACCAAATCCCAAGGTGCTTAAAAAACTCATGAAGAGATGGAAATACCTTTAGCAATTGGGGGGTTTTTGGATTTTCGGTTTGTGGAATGGGATCAGTGGTCGGGGAGAAAATCACCTACTGTTACCAATAAAACATATACCTCTTATTAGGGGGGAGCACCTATTCGAGGAAGGGGTTTGAGTATGATGCAAAGAGCTAAAATATCATCTTGCTCTGTATTATGCGAGAAAGCAGGATTGGTGCAGGTTAGAGATATGACCCCACATAGGGTTTAATGTGTTTTGGACAAATTTAAAAATGTTCATGAATGACATCATACTGTTTGGTTTTGCCTCTAAAAACTTATTCGATTGAATTAAGACTTCCAATAGCACTAGGGCATCTTATTACACCATCGATAGCTAAGGATTCGGCCCCTACTAATACCGATAGCCTTTAATGTCGCACAACTGTGAAATACAACGTGTTATGAAATACCACAACATATCGCTCCTCCTAAGTGTAATATTAGGGGAAATTTTTTCCACCAATTNGACCAAAAGGATTCAAATTGCAAGTCAAATATGGTTGCACAAACATTGTTGCATCGATTATATTATTCAATGTATGTAACCTTCGTATTATTTAATTTATCAAGATATTGTAAAGTATGAATTCATATTCTATTTTTTAGGATAATGCTAGATGTACACTTTTTGTGTACATAATGTTTGACACTCGTCACATGGAGGGAGATTTGCATATAATTTTTGGAGTGTGTTATGTGTACATAAAAAATTGTACATAACGGTATTCCCCACTGAAATGGGTGGGGTCCACCTGAATATAAATATGCAAGTGGGCTCCATCCATGTGAGTTGGGAGACATCATTATGTACAATTTTTTATGTACAACAAGAATTATCCATAAGTTATTATGTGTGGCCCCCCCACATATGAGGGGGGTGTAACTTATTAAAAGGTTGAACCCCAACCTTAAGGGTCTCTGACCGCTCTGCCCCTGGAGCATTGTGAGAGAGGTTAATCGCGGGATGTGCCCCATCAGGTCAGGGAACAAGAGCTGCCTGCACACTGGTACCCACAAAAAGTGTCAATTTATGTTTCAGGAAACGAATCCTCACATTGTGGTTGCCAGCAAGGTTGAGTATACATCACTCTTATCCTTTGCGCCACTGGAATATGTCCCAAGGGGCGGGGGATGTGACTTATTATGTACACAAAAAAGACAAAAAAGTGTACAAGTAGACTAATCTTATTTTTTATTAGTCGGGAAACAAGCTTACACAATATTCAATTTATATTGTAGTAAATGACTTTCTTTCCACTGTCATCACTCATAATATTTCGTATAGCATTTATACTTTAAAATGCATATAAAAATTAATATATAAATCTCAATTTATGTTTTGTTGATTCCCACAAAATAGAATGTTCAAACAAATTGTTACAATTAAGTGTTATTCATAATTTCTTAGATTAATTAAGAGATAATAATTTGTTGATTCGCACAATAATTAAGAAAATAAAACAGAGAAATATTTCCTGAAAAGTTGTTGGATTTTTCTGTAGAACTAACCTAAACCCTCGAGTACTATAAGAAAACACAATCACCTATGTTGACTAACACAAACAATAATGTATTCTTTGAACAAAACGAAAAGAGAACAAGAAAAATCATATGATTAATCTAATTTTTTTTTTCCCTTTCAGTCACATGTAATGTACAAACCAAAAAAAATACCGTCAATTTATATGGATTTACCTATTTCCTTTCCAAGTGGTAAGGTTTTTGAGATTTTTTCCTCCAATTTAAGAACGGAACAGATGAACTGCATTGCTTAGGTAATTTTCAATACTTTTAAAACTAATTTTTACTTTGTTGGCTTTGGGATTGTCTGATTTTGAGGTCAACCTGTCAAATTCATTAAATAGTTGGTTGAGGTAAATTGTGGTGTACTCGGTCAATTTATATATTCGTTTATGGTACAAATGATTTTTTATTGGAAGTGAAAAAAATTTGGCGAAGTTGTTAGAGAGTCCAATTTAGCAAGAGAACTTACATTTTAGGAGTGTTTAATATTTGTATATAGAGATAAATTAAAAAAAATTACGATGCGCTTAATTGGGGTGATATGTCAATCCTTTATTGGTGAATAGTCACGAGACAATGAATTCGAAGTAATGCTATTTATTATTAATAATGATTATCATTAGTTTGGAAGACAACGAACCTCATGTTTATTGCCCAATAAAGTTGTGATGATCATCGCTACTGATGATGATCATTTATAATAAGGCTCAAATAAAGTTAAATATCTTTATTCAATTTGAAATCACATTTTAATTATAAATGTAAATTTTATTATGTGTAGATGTTGTCTATTTTTGACTAAGTGTGTTTGATGAAGATTTAAATTAGATTTTTAATAAATTTTGATGAAATCTGTGATTTAAAAATAGTGGACTCCATAAAATATATAGTTAAAATTAATTGTTGACTTTAACTTGGATTACAATCTAAATTTTAATCACAATCGAATAGGGATTTATTAAAAAGCTGATTAAAATTTAAATTGTAATCAACAATTAATTTTTAATTATACATTTATGAAATCTATAATTTTTCAACTACGCATTTAATTAGTTTTTATTAAAATTTACATTTTTATCCAAATAAAATATGGGCGAATCATCTTGAGTTGTACAGAATATTGTTCAACCTGCTTGCGAATATGGAATGGACCGAGTAAAACTTCGAAAAATCGCCCATCTTTCTCTCTCCTTTCTGCCCTCCTTCCCTCTCACCCCCTATATATACTCATCTGCACCATCAAAATCTTCCAAAAATACAGACCCTCGTATATATTTACACACAGAGTCATCGAGATATGGAAAAAATCTCTTCCAAAACGATAGAAATTACTGTAATCTCAGGCGAAGACCTGTGCGTGAACCGAAGGCAACGGGTAAAGAAAAACGCTTTTGTTATCGTTCAAACAGACTCGTCAAGAGCAACAAAAATGGATACAGATGGTGGAAGCTACCCAGTATGGAATGAAAAGTTTGTGATGGAGTTACCCATGCATGCACGTTTTATTAATGTGGAAGTTCAATGCAAGGCCTTTACGGGCGGAAATAATCTAATCGGAACGGCGAGAATTCCGGTTTCGGATTTTTCCGGCGGGTATCTTCCGGTGAATTATTTGAGTTTTTTGAGTTATAGACTGAGGGATGGGAATGGGGAGAAGAATGGGATTATTAACCTTTCTGTGAAGGTGATAGGGCCAGAAAATACGAGCTGCGCTGCCAGTTGTTCGACGCCATGGACGGCGGTTCCGGTTGACAACAAGTTTTCCGGTGGAATTGTGACGGGTATTCCTGTGCCGTATAGATATTGAAGCATGGAATTTTCTTTCCTTTCATTGGAGAAAAATATATATGAAAATAGCTCCATTTCGATTCATGGTTGAATTGTTATTGCCTTGTTTGGTGGGGATTAAAATTAGAATTTTAATACATTTTGATAAAAATTGTAAAATATATAATTAAAAAAATGTGGATGCTATAAAATGCGTTATTAAAATTAATTGTTTACTTAGATTAAAAACTAAATCTTAATTTCTATCACACACGGATATATGTTTGTTATATCTCATACAAAAATCGTAAATGTTGTCTTGTCGTATCATCGTCACACATGCATAATCTATCACGAAATACGAAGTACACATCTAAAGCACCTAATGGCTAATGGTTGGGAGAAAAACCTTGGTGAGACGATCGCATGCGACCGTCAAATGGGAAGCCACCACTTCATCGAGAGGTTCACTCTCATCCAATGAGATGAGGTTACCTCGAGACTTTATTTTTTCTTTCCTTCCACCTCATGTCCTGAGGTGGCCTCACCTCATTGGGTGAGAGTGGGCCACTCGATATGGTGGTGACTTCTTAATGGGCGATTGCACCATATATGATGGTGCAACTGCCTCACCAAAATTTTTCTCAATGGTTGGGCCAACTGGTGACAGTGCATTGACACTTCCCAGTCCCTAGCTTTAAAAATGGCTAGGGACACGAGACCACTCTCGAAAAAGAATTTGGCAAAATGATCATATTGATCAGGCTTTGACGACTATTTATCAAAAATATAAGTCTCCACAAAATCGTAAGATCATGTATAACGACCGTCATCCACCTAGTGCAAAAAGGTCAAGTTAGTGCCATGATGACAAAAAATCGATGACTGAAGCCAATGAGTGTAACTACATTGGACTTAAGTAACGAAATTCTTTCTCATGTAAGTTTAACAATTCTCGGACGAAATACCTTGTTATTTAAGTTAACGTTCTCGGTGAGATAGACATGTTTGTAAAGAGTACTGAATAGAGACGCCATGAAGCTTCACTATTCTCTTGTATAAGGTTTAGGTGGAGTTAATTGTTCCGATGGTCGTTGAATTTAGATCTATGTCTTTGATTGATCACTAAAGTTTAAAATGTCGAGTTTTGTTTACTGAATTTAGGTCCACGTCTTCGATTGCTTACTGAAATTTAAAATGTCAAGTTTTGACCACTGAATTTTGAAAAAATGTTGTACATTACTCACTGAACTTTGAAAAATACTGTACATTAATCACTGCAAACTCGATAATTTTCAAAGTTCAACAGTTATGTTAATGAGTAACATACAACATATTCCAAAGTTTAGTGGTCAAAACTTGACATTTCAAATTTCAGTGAGCAATCGAAAATATGGACCTAAGTTCAGTGAGCAATCGAAGATATTGACCTAAGTTCAGTAATCAAAATTCGATATTTTAAATTTCAGTGACCAATCAAAGGAGTGAATTACCAAAATGGTCACTGAACTTTTGCAAAAAGTTTTCACGGGGTCACTGAACTTTAAAAATTACCCAATTCATCATTGAACTTTGCAAAAAGTTTCCACGGGATCATTGTACTTTAAAAATCACCCCATTTCATCACTGAATTTTGTAAAGCCACCACTTCATCGAGAGGTTCACTCTCATCCAATGAGATGAGGTTACCTCGAGACTTTATTTTTTCTTTCCTTCCACCTCATGTCCTGAGGTGGCCTCACCTCATTGGGTGAGAGTGGGCCACTCGATATGGTGGTGACTTCTTAATGGGCGATTGCACCATATATGATGGTGCAACTGCCTCACCAAAATTTTTCTCAATGGTTGGGCCAACTGGTGACAGTGCATTGACACTTCCCAGTCCCTAGCTTTAAAAATGGCTATGGACACGAGACCACTCTCGAAAAAGAATTTGGCAAAATGATCATATTGATCAGGCTTTGACGACTATTTATCAAAAATATAAGTCTCCACAAAATCGTAAGATCATGTATAACGACCGTCATCCACCTAGTGCAAAAAGGTCAAGTTAGTGCCATGATGACAAAAAATCGATGACTGAAGCCAATGAGTGTAACTACATTGGACTTAAGTAACGAAATTCTTTCTCATGTAAGTTTAACAATTCTCGGACGAAATACCTTGTTATTTAAGTTAACGTTCTCGGTGAGATAGACATGTTTGTAAAGAGTACTGAATAGAGACGCCATGAAGCTTCACTATTCTCTTGTATAAGGTTTAGGTGGAGTTAATTGTTCCGATGGTCGTTGAATTTAGATCTATGTCTTTGACTGATCACTAAAGTTTAAAATGTCGAGTTTTGTTTACTGAATTTAGGTCCACGTCTTCGATTGCTTACTGAAATTTAAAATGTCGAGTTTTGACCACTGAATTTTGAAAAAATGTTGTACATTACTCACTGAACTTTGAAAAATACTGTACATCAATCACTGCAAACTCGATAATTTTCAAAGTTCAACAGTTATGTTAATGAGTAACATACAACATATTCCAAAGTTTAGTGGTCAAAACTTGACATTTCAAATTTCAGTGAGCAATCGAAAATATGGACCTACGTTCAGTGAGCAATCGAAGATATTGACCTAAGTTCAGTGATCAAAATTCGATATTTTAAATTTCAGTGACCAATCAAAGGAGTGAATTACCAAAATGGTCACTGAACTTTTGTAAAAAGTTTTCACGGGGTCACTGAACTTTAAAAATTATCCAATTCATCATTGAACTTTGCAAAAAGTTTCCACGGGATCATTGTACTTTAAAAATCACCCCATTTCATCACTGAATTTTGTAAAAAATTTCTCAGTGATCACTAAATTTAGTGACCCCGTGAAAACTTTTTGTAAAATTTAGTGATGAATGGACTAATTTTTAAAGTTCAGTGATTCCATGGAAATTTTTTACAAAGTTCAGTGTTGAATTAAATGATTTTTAAAGTTTAGTGACCCTGTGAAAACCTTTTACAAAGTTCAATGACCATTTGAGTAATTCATTCTCAATCAAAGACATGGACCTAAATTCAATGACCATTGGAACGATTAACTCGTTTGGGCGAAAAATTCCTCCCTAAGACAGTTACACTAAATCATAACTCAAATGATACAGATACCATATAAACATTTTAAGTTTCCAAGTAATTGTCACCTCCTTTGTTCAAGACAGTTTAACCCTTTCCAATTTTATCATCTTATTCAGAATAGAGCCGTCATCCACCGTGCTTTACCACCTTCTACCGTGTTCCACCACTAGTTCACCATTACAAAAGATGTAGAGTAATGGTGGAAGAAAAGTACAGACACCAACCAACAATACCATAAGACTTGGGCCTCAAATGATACAGATACCATATAAACATTTTAAGTTTCCAAGTAATTGTCACCTCTTTTGTTCAAGACAGTTTAACCCTTTCCAATTTTATCATCTTATTCAGAATAGAGCCGTCATCCACCGTGCTTTACCACCTTCTACCGTGTTCCACCACTAGTTCACCATTACAAAAGATGTAGAGTAATGGTGGAAGAAAAGTACAGACACCAACCAACAATACCATAAGACTTGGGCTACACCTTGGAAGGAGGGGGGAAAAAAAATGCACCAACTGTAGTTTCTTATTGAATTGGAAGTTACATATTATACAAAAAGAGTACACTTTCAAGACATCCAAGCGTTGTGTAAAGAAGTTCACCTCATCTCTAAAGGTGGCACAGAAACAAGAAGTTGCCATGACTAGCAAAAGCCCCACACTCATCAAATACGCTAAAAGAAGAAAAAAAACTATGTGCTGGCATACTATTTGAGTAAACAAGCGAATAGCAGTTGTATTGCAGATAACTATGGACAACAAAGACGACCACTCAGAAACTCGAAGGAACCCTGGAATGGATCTTGATTATACTTCTTCACTGCCACTTTGATTGCCATTTTTAAGAATATTGAACTTGCATAGAGGACACGTGGCGTTCATGTACAGCCATTTGTCTATACAGGCAGAGTGAAAATGGTGACGACAAGGGAGTTCGCGCAGTTCAGTTCCATCATCATAAGCACAAAGGCATATGCAGCATTCCTGAAATCCAATGCAGAGATGAATGCCAAGAAACTCCATTTTTACTTGTTTGATTAATAATGAGAACATCTGACTTAAACATTGACGTGTTTTATGAATTCTTGCTAGCAAGTTAAGAAACCACAATAAACACTAAAATCGAGCTCCCAGAACCTAAGTTAAAACATGTTTGACTGAACGTAAAAAATTAATAATAAGTTCATTTTCAAACAAATATTTTTTTTATTGGCTAAATTTGGAAACAAATAAGTTGCTTATTTTGATAGTAAGATAGAGTTACTTTCATAAGAAGTAACATAGCTTATTTTAAAAAAAAGAAAAAAGAAAAAAGAAAAAAAAAAAGAAAAAGAAAAAGAAAAAGAGTTGCTCCATAATTCTCCCATAAAATCACATTTCCACCCCTCTCCCCACCTGGTATATTCATAATTAATAAAACTGACGGACAATCAGTAAAACTGGTATACCCAATCTCACACCAATTATGATGCTGTAAAGAGCAGACTGAAGAAAGAAATCTTAAAATAAAATTAAAAATTTTCTATCCACATGAAGAATAGAAACTCTAACTGAACATACCGCATCCTCTAGAGGAAGAACGTGTTCGACAGGTGAATCAGTGTCACATTCGGTCATTATTCCTCCAAATGATTGTTGAATCTCACCAATTTGTTTGTCAAAATCACCAATTCTCCGGAATTTGTATTTAGGCAGTCTTTCAATGTCTTCCTTAGTCGCTCCTTCCTGTTGCCATATAGAAACAAGTGCCAACTTAAAAATTTAATACTGAAGCACCAAGGGGAAAATGCTGGGCCATATAAACAATTTCAGCACACAAAGAAAGCAATTGATAATTGACGCAACCTTCATTTCAGAATCACCGAGTACAGACTCCTTCCTCACTTTTTGTTCATTTTCTTAAAATACGACTATATGTCTCATTATCACAAAAGCAAAATCAGAACATTTTATTGGAGATAAGCATGAAAACATAAAACAGTGGCATAAAAGAACTACTGCCGTCAATGGAAATGATGATCCAACTTAAGTGGGAATTATCAAGACAACTCATATAGTGAACACAAGCCTTAAGTCAGTAACACTTCTTGATCGGTGAATGCAGATTCTGATACAGCATATGATCATAGTACCATAAGGAATTCCCAGGACTTTTTTTATAAATCATATTTGACGAATTCACTTGATACTTAGGGAGAACTGGAAGCAAGTGATGTCAGAAGCGAAAAAGTAAGGTTCTTTCCTTCATTCAAACGTGAAGTGGAAGTAGGAGGGAAGGGAAAGAGACGAAGAAAAAGTAACCCTTTGGTCCACATACAGAAAGAAAAAAGTAGGGTAAGGAAAAAATGCGATAGTTTTATAATTTTATTCATTATCATATCAATATCAGCATACCTTAAAAACCATCATGTATCTACACTGATTCTACTGCATAAGGGATTTTTTATACGTTATAATTAAAATTATGCAACAGATATGTTCATTACAAATATGTGTACTTACACTTCATAAAATGTCTTAAAATAACCATATGAAATTCTAAGTTTCAGGAGTTTTTTACCATTGGAGCTCACAGGCACAGTAGTGAGTTATATGAATTTTCCACAGAAATAGATAAAAGAACAAGGTGAGAAGTTTTTCCCTTTATCAAGTGTTCTGGTCAATCAATTGTGCGCTATTCAAATGTAACAGGGGCACAGTTATCACATATTGTTCAAATTCCATTAAATCCATTGCATATATGCGTACACATTAATAGTAAATATCAGTAAAGGAAGTTGCTCAGGGCCATCGGTATCATCAAGCGGCACTTTTGCCTTTTTTTAACTTCATGAAAGATCATGATAGGAATACAAATTATTTATAATCCTTGCAGGGAAAGGGGACATAAAGACCACAGGCGGTTTTGTTCCAATATAGGCATGAGGGAACTTCAAGATGCTATAGGTTAATAAATCTAGACATGTCTTTATCATAGCTAAACTGAGCATATTTAGATCATTATTATTCAACGAACACAGTACAACCTGAGCTGAGATTCTATGAAATCAACCAGAGCATAAGTCTAAGAGATGCATATACACCCGAACTGCACTCTGGGTGCTGTCAGCAAAGTAATTCAACAACCACACACAGAAAGAGAAAGAAATGCAGTTCATTATTATTAGCAAATTACAGGTATAGGTAAGAGATTCTAAAATTATAGCTACCTGATCTGCTACTGCATATAAGATTGCAATAATACAAGGTAGACAGCAGCACACAGCAATTCCAATGACACATGCCACAGCAATGCAGATAACAACAAATAAAACATCGAAAGCCAGAAATGTAATACAAAGCCTGCAAAACAAAATCCCTTGCGTGGATAATAAACAAAGGAGAGGAAAAATTAATATTAATATTGAGGCCTCAATAAGATATGTTTGGACAAACCAGTAAAGTTGTGGTGAGTCCTGAATCAAACTTTGGCCACCAGCAGTTATCCAGTAGAACCCGATTATCCACCAAATAAATGAGAACATTGTATTTGCTGACTCCAGATGTTTAGCAATGCTGCAATAAATACGTAGAAAGAGGTCATTAATTATCTATTTCTTCAGCTCAGAACCGTGATATAAGACCTTCATAGTGTCAAAACAGATTTATCATTCAGTCCAGTGGGTGGAGACAAGAGGCGATAAAATAATACATTCTTCAACACTGAAAAATATAGATAAAATTATATGTTAGCTCAGAAAGGAATGTTACTATCATCTAAAGGCTTAAAAAATAAAAGAACTGGTCTTTTGGAATCAGAAACGCGTTAGATTTGGCATGTCATGTTTGTGTCCCTCATGCCTAACTCTTAAAAATTTCATCTGTAATCCCTATGGTAAGTTATTTTTCAGAAATAAAAAGTGTTCCACGTGTCTGCAGGCAAAATTTGAGAAACGACTAGTTTTACCTTCTCCTATCAAGTAACAATAATTAGTTTTTTATATTATCAAAAAGAGACAAGTCATTACGCCCCAAAATTCTCTTCCATTCGACAGCATCAACAAGTAAAGTAATCATTTCTTCCCAACAAAAATGTACTTGTCTTTTACCAAGACTAATTCCAAAAACATAGAGCCAGAGGTCAATTTACACACAAGAACTCGTATCTATCTCGAATTAAATGGATTAGGAATTCATCAAGCCACTTAATAACATCAAACTTCAAAAGCCTTACTATTCCCAAGCTTCCAATTGAAATTTGGTGGCATTTTTTCTGACTGCATTTGATACCCATTTTATAGCTACGGTCAAAATTCTATAAACGCTACTTAAAATAAATAAATAAATTGACACACCATTTTGGTTGAAAAAGGACCATGAATTTGATTGCAAAAGTCAAGACCACATTCTGTATAGTGTCTGCCTATATGAATAATAATTCGAGAAATAAAAAATCAGAATATATATCTCTGTATGTATACCTAGTTTCATCATCATTTTGGTGGCCCTCGGAAGCATAATCATCAGACTCCACCTCATCACTTCCAGAACTCGAATTCGTGTAATTCCTACTGTACCTAACCCCATCCCTTGGGCTCCCCTCCAAGTTTCGTTGTGAATACCTCTTCTTATACTCCATCCAGACACACACCATGTGAAGAATGCACTGAAGAGCATATCCCAAAATCCACACCCTCAAAGGCATCGACGGCGACTCGTTCCGGCTCATGATCATCACAGTAATTGAAACAATCACAAACGCCAGGTTCCAAATGAGGTCCAGTATCACTATCGGCTTCGAGTAGGCCCAGTCGCTCTGTCGCTCCTCGATTTGCGCGGCCGCGGCTTCGCGCACTCTAACGGACGGCTCCCGCATCACGCGGCCGCGGCTGCTGGCTTGGCGGAGGAAGCGAGCCGCACCACGGAGGCTTGGCGGGCGGCGCATGAAGCGGGAGCGCGTTCGGAAGATCTGGTCTCCCAATAACGGCGTCCTATCAATGGCCTCATTGGAATTGGAATTGGAATTGTCAGAGGACATAGTTTCGGCCGAGAATTGATTTGAACGGTAAATTATCTTTTCCAATTTGAAAGATGCATGAATTGTGTGATATACTGGTGAGGGTTTGATCGGTGGTGGAAGTTGAAGATTTGGTGAGGATGAGTTACATGTGATTATAGTCGCTGTGTGGGTCTGCGAAGGTACGGGAAAGAGAGAGAGCAAACGAATGAATCTGGATTATGTTTGGCTGAAAATGAAAAATATGTAAATTATCTGAACCCCATTTTTACATTGGAATGTATTTTGTAATAATAAATTTTTTGAAAATATATGGTTAAAAATTAAAAAAAATTAATTTATGAGTAAATTATTTTATTCAAAAAAATTTGTTGTTGAAAATGAGTATGAAAAAAAAAAGTTATCAATAATAGTAAGAAAAATAAACTTATAAGTAAGTCAATTCCTTTAAACAATACTTTTCACTTGGTCTAAGGGCCATCCAACACATGAACTTATAAGGTAGTGAATAATCAAATTATTGACAGAAAATATTTAATTAATCGAGTCAAAT